AATAAAAGGGGTCTGGAGCTCTCGGGAGCCTACTGGGATCAGGTTGAAGACCAGGGGCCAATGTTTCCTCTAAGCTGAGTGTACAGGTTACCACCCAACGATCGATGTTGACAAGGCAAACTTCTGATTCTGGAAGGTGCTGATGTGCACGGACATCAGGGCCTCACACAGCCAGATGTAACACTGCTAGGGGCCTGGACCAGAAGCAGAATTTCCTGTACAGACCTGTGATTTCTGCCCCGGTCATCTGCCATTTTTCCCATTCACATAACCTATCTATATCCCTTTGTACACATTTTTCCTTGACAACTTACTTTCCTATCTTTCTTTGTGTCATTGGCAAATTTAGCTACAATACCACTGATCTCATCATCAAAGTCATTCACAGAGATTGTAAATAGTTGTATCCCTAGCACTCATCCCCATGGCATTCCACCATTTAATGCCAGACAACCTTAAAATGACTTGTTTATCACTGCACTTCTTCCTGTTAGCTAACCAATCCAACATGCATACTAATATGTTACCCCCTCCACCATGAGTTCTTATTTCGTGCAGGAATCTTCAATGTTGCACCTCCAATGTCTTTTGAAAATCCATGTACACCACATTTACAGATTCCCCTTTATCCACACAAAGTGTAGAATATCCACTCGTGATAATGCCAATTTTATGCTCCTGTTCAAACCTCTGTGTAAGAAACAAATGAAAATAACGCTGCTTTGATCCCTAGTTATTGGTTAAATTTCCCTATTTTGAAAAGCCACAGTTCACCAGGAACACCATGGGATCTTGGATTTTAGCCGATTATTCAGTCTTTAGCTGGACGGGGAATTTTCACAGTCTGTCTAACTTCGCTGTTAGTGTCAGCAGCCTTTCCAAATTTCATCTGCTAATAAATCTCTCATGAGATTGTAATTGCTTGAATCCAACAGCACATACGGTTATTAATCCATTTCTTTTGGGACCATTTTTCTGTGATACTATATTTGTTTGCATTGAGATTAAAAATATTATTGGTAAGAAAAGTTACAGTTTGTGAGAACATGTGAAACTGATCCAGCTGCCAAGTTCCTGCAGTGTGCTCAACTGCTTACTTTGGTAGATGATAAACCAAATGGATAAGGAAAAGAATCAGAGTGGAGCCCGGTAGCTCTTTGAGATCAACCAAAAGATCATTGCTTTCCAGAGGAGTGGGTGAGGCCTCTTCTGGAGTATTGTGTGCCATTCTGGTCACCCTGATGTAGAAAGGATATTATTAAATTGGAGAGGGTTCAGAAAAGATTTACCAGGATGTTGCTGGGAATGGATGTTTTGAGATATAAAAACAGACTGAAAAGGCTGGGACTTTTTTCACTGGAGTGTAGGAGTTGGGGGGGGTGATCTTATTGAGGATTATAAAATCATAAGGGGTATAGATAAGGCGAATGACAAGGATCTTTTCACTAGAGTGGAGGAGTTCAAAACTAGGGGCCATATTTTTAAGGTGAGAGGAGAAAGATTTACAAAGGGCATGAGGGACAACTTTTCTAGTTAGAGAGTGGTTCATGTGTGGAATGAACTGCCAGAGAAAGTGGTGGATGCAGGTACAGTTACAACGTTTAAAAGACATTTGGATAAGTTAATGAATAGGAAAGGTTTGGCGGGGTATGGGCCAAATGCAGGCAGGTGGGACTAATTTCATTCAGGAACATGGTCAGCGTGGACTGGTTTAACTGAAGGATCTGTTTCCATGTTGTCATACTCTATGACTCAATAACAAAGGGCTGAATTTTTCAGCCCTGTGCCAGTGGTCTTGGTGGCCAGAGGCGAGGAAGCAAGGAAAACTTGATCAGTTCATGTTGAGCTGGCTCAGAGATACATTGCTACCTCTGTGCACTTGTGGGTCATTAATTAAGACAATTCTTAAAGCAACTAGCCTTCCTCTGTCCAAGTGTGTCAGGAGCCCAGCAATGGAGTGGAGCTGGCTTCACAGCCAGATGTCTGTCATGCAAACCACATGAGGCTTTTTAGTTAAGTAGGTGACATTAATTTGTAGTGCTCAGGCTTCTGTAAGTAGAAGGCATGCCAATGCAGTCATTTTGTGCAAATGGATGTCTCCACTACTGTATTTCTTGTTTGAATAGCAGCACCTGACCTGAGGGATAGGGTCTTCAGATGTGGTCAGGTGACTGAGGTAGATAAGGTGACCCAAATGTCAGGAATGCGGGAGTGTCCACCTCTGCAATTGTCCATTAGGTTTGAGATTGTTAGGATGAGAGTGGGTTTTGCAGGGTGGGTGACCTAACTAACCACGGCACAGGAAACATTCGTGGAGGGAACAACAGGGAATATAGTGGTAGGGGATACTATAATGATGAGGATTGACATTTGCAGCAAAGAATGAGAGACCAGACAACTGTTTTGCCAGCCCAGTGCCAGAGTTCTCAATATCTACTCAGGAGCTAGAAGAATTTCCAGTGGGAGGGAGAAGAGCCAGTTGTCATGGTCTTTGTAGGTATCACAGCCATAGGTAAAACTAGGAGAGTGGTTCTGCACTGAGAATCTGAGGAGATAGGCACTAAATTAAAAAACAGAACCTCAAAGGTTATGATCTCTGGATTATTACCTGAGCCATATGTAAATTGGTGTAGACTATATAAATTGAGAAAGGTGAATTAGTAGCTCAAAGCCTGGTGTGAGAGAAATCAGTTGCAGGTCGTGGGTCACCAAAACCAGTGCGAGAAAATGGGGACTCTATTCCTAAAGCATCTTACACCTGAACCATGTTGGAAATAGTGTTCTTGAGAATCACATGACTGGGGAAGTGGAGAGGGTTTTCATCTAAATAGTGGGGAAAAGAAAACAAACGTGGAAAGATGTGGCATATCAAAGTGTAATGACAAGTGAAGATAACTATAATGGGGGAAATGAGGGTTGGAAAATAGCAGAGAGGGATAGGGAGGAAAAAAAAATCTAGAACTATACTAACAAACAAGACTGGATGTTACAAAAAAAGGAGAAAAAAATTAAATACTCTGTATCTGAATGCAAATAGCATTCATAGCAAAGTAACCAAACTGATAACACACATTGAAGTAAGTAAATATGATCTGATCACTGTTACGGAGATACGATTGCAGGATGACAAAGATTGGGTCCCGAATAAAGAAGGGTATCTGATACTTGTGAATAGGAAGCTGCATAAAGGTGGAAGTGAAGCACTATTAATCAAGGATGTCATTCTGCAATAGTTACAGATGAGCTTGGTTTAGGACATCAGCATATAGAACTGGTTTGGATGGTGATGAGGAATAGTATGGTAAGGAAGATACTGTGTGAGTGGTCTGTAGATCCCCTTAACAGTCACCATATTGTAGAACAAAACATACAATAGGAAATACTGGTTGACTGTGACAAAGGGACAACAATAATCGTAGCTGACATTAATTTACATATAAAATAGCAAAATTAGATTGACAACAGTGACCTGGATGAAGCGCTCATACAATACTTTACAGATAGATTCTTAGAGCAGCGCATTTTGAACCAATCAGAAAGCAGTTTATACTAGATTTGGAATTATGCAATGTGACAGAATGAATTAATGACCTCAGAGCCAGGGCACTCCTAAAATAAAGCAATTACAATATGATTGAATTTTACATCCAGTTTGAAAGGGCAAAGATTCGTTATTAGACTAGTATTTTATACTCAAGTAAGGGCACTTATGAGGGCATGAAATCTTAGCGAGCTGAAGTAAACTGGCATGCCAGGCTGTAGATTAATAGAGATGAGTGACAGACCTTTAAGGAGTTATTTCAGAATACTCAATATAAATATGCTAACATTACAAAGAAACATTTTAAAGGGAAGACCTACCATTTGTGGTTAACTAAAGAAGTTTAGGAAAGTGTCAAACTTAAGGGAAAAGCATATAATTGCATAAAGATGAGTGGCAGAGTGACAGAAAGGTTCATCAGAATACATAAATTAAAATTAAGAGGAAGCTAGCTAGAAATATAAAAATGGGGGAAAGCAAGGTATTTGAAAAGGAAATGAATAAGTAAACTGAGTGTTAGTCCCATAAAGAGTGAGAATTAGGAATTAATAGTGCATAATTAGAAAAAGCCAGATGAAATGAAAACATATTTTGCTTCTGTCTTCGGTTTGGAGAATACAAAAGATAATCCAGTATTAGCTGTAAATCAAGAGATAGAAAGGAGAGAGGAACTTAGTGAAATTACAATCACAAGGGAAGTGGTACTGCAGGCTGACAAGTTTCTGAATGGAGATGGACTTCATTATAGAGTCTTAAAAATAAGACGTGACTGCAGAGGTAGTAGATGATGCAGAAAAGGTTCCATCAGATCGGAAAATAGCAAATATTCAAGAAGGAAGGGAGGCAGAAAACAGGAAACCATAAGTCAGTTACTTTGACATCTGTCGAGGGGAACTGTTAGAATTAATCATTGAAGAAGGAATAGCCATGCTCTCAGAAAAACTCAGTGTAATCAGGAAGAGTCAGCATGGTTTTGTCAAGGGGAAATCATGTTGAACCAATTTATTGGAGTTCTTTGAAGCAGTGCGATATGCTGGGTATAAAAGTGAGACTTCAATGTAATTTCCAGAAGGTATTTGAAATGAAACATTATTGCGGAAGAAAAAACTTATTGTGTAGAGTGTAATATATTAGCATGGATAGAAGACTGGCTGCCTGGCAGAAAACAAACAAAATACATAAATGGGTCTTTGCCTAATTGGCAGAATGTGATGAATGGAGTCCTGCAGGTGTCTGCTGGGAGCTCAACTTTTTACAATTTCCATCAATGACTTGGATGTAGGGAGCAAATGCGTGCTTACATGACAAATACAATATTATAACTGCACTTAAGAACTTATTTGATTAAATGGTTAGATTACAATTTATTTTTATCGCTAAATAAATCATATTCAGTCATCTCTAGAAAATTTATCGTTTTATAGATATCTTCATATTGATTTCCTTATATTTCTTCCAGGTTTTATTTAAAATGTTTCTTGGAAGTGCAAACTTTGGAGAAGCTGCGTATTTCATTTCTACACTGGGCTTCTTCAATTTAATTTTCATATCCTCTGCACCAGTTATACTGTACTTTACGAAAGTGGAATACTGGTCCTCATTTTCTGCTTTACCTTGGGGATACCTTTGTGGTGTGGCTGGTCTTTGGTTAGGTATGTGACTTAAATGCTTCCATAGAAAATTATTTGATTCTTTACTAGTATCCTGAAATAACAAACAAATGCTATTTCATTTGAATTACAATTTACTTCATGATGTTTAAGTTTAAATTATACATTCACAGTACTTTTAATGAATAAGACTTTGTGAGCCAATACATAATTCAGTGCAATTTTAGAGAGCTCTAATTAGCATTGAGGACTCTTGCAGAAAGTGAAAAACTTGTTATAGTAATTTTTTTTCCAAAATCAATCTAACTGATGCACACTTCTGTACACAAAATGCCATTAACCTAAACAGACCTTGTACAGACTGGTAAGATCACAGCCAATGCATTTCTTTCATATATACATAAAGCTGGAATGTTTCAACTATGCAATTAATACCCTTTTTACTAAATCTCAGATTAAATTGAACAATTAACCTGAGAGTTTATTACAATAGCACAACCACATATTTTCCACATTTAGTAGCTCCTGAACTTATCCAAACCTAGCTAAAGATTCTACTGTTTGTAAGGAATTCAATACATTCGATGACTTCAAGTTTTCCTGTTTAAGTTTAAACTTAAGTTTTCAAGTTTAAAATTATTTACGCAGAAAATGCTGGAAACACTCATCAAGTCAGGCAGTATCTGTGTAAAAAGAAACAGAGTTAATGTGTGGAGATTGATGACTTTTATTAGTGATAACATGTAAAGTAAATAAACTAACTGTGGAGAACAGTGGAATGACCTGAGGGCAGGTAAGATGCTATCTAAATGCAAATTCTTCATTTTCATTGGTGAATTTTAGAATTCTTACTTTTTTTTTAGTTTTTGAGATTCTATTTGACAAATGGATATTCAATTCACAGTTGCTTCTCAATTCACCACTATGGACAAATACTATAGGTCAAATATCCTTTGGAGTGTTATAAGGGTGTGTTGATAGGTGTGTGATGTAATGGTATACCGGGTCTATTCCATGTTGCCCTTGAAAAGGATGTTGCTTCAATTCTTCACAAAGCCACACACCAAATTTCCTCCAAGCCATGCACTATCTTATTTGGAACTATATCATTGTCACTGGGTTAAAATCCTTGTGGCCCCCTTGTTTATAGCAGTTTGAGAGTACCTATATCATACCATCTGGACTGTGGCAATTTAAGAAAGTGGATCATCACCACCTACTCAAATGCAATTAGAAATAGGTAATAAGTGCTGGCCCAGCCATTGAAGCTCACATCTGTTAAAAGAATAAAAAGTATTCTGGATGAAAACCGACAGAATTGTGGATGCAGTAAACCAGAAACAAAAACAGAAGTTGCTGGAAAAGCTCAGCAGGTCTGGCATAATCTGTGAAGAGAATTCAGAGTTAACGTTTCAGGTCCGGTGACCCTTCCTCAGAACTGATGGTAGCTAGGAAAATGTGGTTTATATGCAGGAGATAGGATGGGGATGGGGTGGGGGGGGTGGTGGGAAAGGAGTAAACAATAGGTGGGGATAGAGCCCAAAGAGAGAGAAGAACCGTTGGACATACAAAGGGTGGATAGCGTCTGGCTGGGAGAGTGAATAGCTGTTAATGGAGACTGTTATTGGCCAAAAATAGGTAGTGTGTAATAGCAGGCTATGTGATAACAAAGCCATGTGTGTGGGGTAGGGGGCTAGGACATGGGAGAGCTCAGGCTCTAAAATTATTTCATTCAATATTGCGTCTGGAGGGCTGCGGATCCCCAAGCGGAAAATGAGGTGTTGTTCTTCCGGCTTGTGCTGAGCTTCGCTGGAACACTACATCAAGCCTGAGACAGAGATGTTGGCCAGGGAACAGGGCGGTATGTTAAAGTGGCAGGCAACTGGAAACTCAGGGTCTTTTTTACGGGGAGAACGCAGATATTCTGCAAAGCGGTCCAAGTCTATGTTTCTTTTCCCCTATGTAGGGGAGACCACATTGTGAGCAGCGAATGCAGTAGACTAGATTGTGGGAAGTGCAGGTAGAGTGCTGCTTCACCTGGAAGGTATGTTTGGACCCTTGGATAGTGGGGAGGGATGTGGGAAATGGGCAGGTGTTGCACCTTCGGCAGTTGCCGGGGAAGGTGCCATGGGGCTAAGGGTGGGTATTGGGAGTGAAGAAAGAATGGGCCAGGGTGTCCTGGAGGGAACAGTCCCTGTGGAAGGTGGACAAGAGAGGGGAGGGGAATATGTGTCTGGTGGTGGCATCTCGCTGGAGGTGGTAGAAATGGCGTCTGATGATCTTCTGGATGTGGATGCTGGTGGGATGGTAGGTAAGGACAAGGGGGCCCCTATCACTGTTGTAGGAGGGAAGAGAGGTGGTGAGGGCGGAAGTGCGGGAGATGGGGACCCTGCAGCCCAATGGTATCAATGTGGATTTCACAAGTTTCAAAATCTCCCCTCCCCCTACCGCATCCCTAAACCAGTCCAGCTCGTCCCTGCCTCCCTAACCTGTTCTTCCTCCCACCTATCCCCTCCTCCCACCTCAAGCCGCACCTCCATCTCCTACCGACCAACCTCATCCCGCCCCCTTGACTTGTCCGTCCTCCCTGGACTGACCTACCCCCTTCCTAACTCCCTACCTACACTCACCTTTACTGGCTCCATCCCCGCCTCTTCGACCTGTTTGTTTCCTCTCCACCTATCCTCTCCTCTATCCCTCTTCTATCCGCCTCCCACTCTCTCCCTATTTATTTCAAAACCCCCTTCCCCTCCCCCTTTTCTGATGAAGGGTCTAGGCCCGAAACGTCAGCCTCTCTGCTCCTATGATGCTGCTTGGCCTGCTGTGTTCATCCAGCCCTGCACCTTGTTGTCTCGGATTCTCCAGCATCTGCAGTTCCTACTATCGCTATCCACTCCTTTGTCTGTCCGACTGTTCTTCTCTCTCGTTGGGCTCTATCCCCATATCGTTTACTCCTTACTCCCTCCCCCCCCCCTATCTTCTACATATAAACCAACATTTTCCTTGCTACCATCAGTTCTGAGGAAGGGTCATTGGACCTGAAAAGTTAACTCTGATTTCTCTTCACAAATACTGCCACACCTGCTGAGCATTTCCAGCAGCTTCTGTTTTTGTTTCTGAAAACAAAATTCTGGAATCTGTCGGGGTGATGCACTATTCCCAGAGTCGTTAAATAAAAATTTTTGTCAATACATGCAAAGGTCCTACTTTACCTGCTTGATAGACTCAGATTTAAAAGAAACATGGGCCAGGTTTCTGTACATAACAAGAACTATTATGTATTACAATAAATAGATTCTAACCCCAGATAAACAACTATGAACTGTCAACATATGATTGTACTATCTGAAAGTCTAACTCCTTTCTGACAGATACAGTCAAAATAATATGGAGGAGCTGGATGGAGGGGAAAGGATACAGTTTAATAGCACCATTCCTTAGGATTCAGTGGGGTGTTCCTTTTATTTTCCAAGTCCTTTAATTCTGTTTCCCTTGGGTTCTTTGACTTCTTCACAGAAGACATAGTGTGACTAGTTAATAAATTATAAAGTCTCTGATTTACTAATTAAAAGGTACAACTTACAGCATCTGGTGGGGGAACACAACTGGCTTCCTGTAGCTCCTTCTATTTTTCTGGAGAGATATACTACCTTTCCTTCCAGATGTCTAAAGGCTTCTAACTGTATCTTTCACAACCACAAGCTGTTCAGCTACTCAGGAAACAGAGAGTTGTTATCAGACTGACGACCTTTAGTATCATGACAGTCACAATTACACAAACGAAGCAGCTACTTACTGTTGGCCAAATCTCATTTGCATGCTTCTCTCTGATACTGGGCTATATGTATAAACAGTGTACCTCTCTACTTGAACAAAGCAACAATGTCAGCACCGTGCACAATGAGTTTCCATGACTTGCTTTTAAAAATGCAAAAATTCCTACTACAATGCTTGCTTTTAACACCATTCCTTTTATTTCATTTCAGTCCACAACCAAAAATAAAAAAAAGAAAATGATATGGCCTTTACAAGTCCGAAGTAGTAATCATTTTCTGACCAGGTATGCTGTAAGACCATGCAAAGCTGTGTGAATAGACAGGTTAATTGAGGATCCAAGAATCAAAATGTCTCACATAGGACCCCAATCCTTTGGCCCTGTCCTCTTACATCAGTGGTCTTGTAGGTGGAGGCTCTGCTATCATTTTTTTCAGTCATTCCTTTCAAACTTTCAATGAAAATCCATAAAACTGGCTGCAGATTTACAATTCTTTGATCTTGCCTTGGTCTTTTTATCCTAGTTGGCCTGGATTTGGTGATCAACAATTAATGAATATCACAGTTCAATTCACTTATAACTGTCCACAGACCTGTGAACTTTTGCAATATGATTTGCAGGTATTAGCATTTGAAACAGTATTGTGGATCTGGGACTTGTGTCAACAAGAAACTAATGCTCTGTCTCTAATCAGATTGAAGAATTCTTACTGAAATTAGAACAAATTAGAAAAGGCCCATTAACAGTAAATTCATGGCCATTGATTGTGGCACATAGCCCAGCATTAAATGCACTGCTGATTTTCTGCATGCTCGGCACTACCCGTAGAGCTAGTTTCAATTAAATCGCTTGAATTTCTTAATGCCAGCTGAAAGAGAGGTGCATTTTGGCTGCAGGGCTAGAGCTGACTGTAGAAGCTTTTCTCAGATGATGGAAAAAGGAGCAATCCTGCAATGCACCAAGGAAAGGGTTCTCAGTGTCACCAATGCTGTATTAGAGACACAAAGTAGAGAGAGGTCTTTTTTCCGCAGGTGACATGGCAGGGGGAGGGGGTGGGGTGGGGGCCCTGCAGAAATAGACAGAAAGGAATAGGATCACATGGCCACAGAGAACAATGTTTGATCTCAAGGACCTGCCTACAGTGCCCAAGAAAGTTCAATGACCTTTCATAAGTGGTCAAAGTCAGTGAAAACATTTTTAAATGCCATCGTCTAACCAGCACAACACTATCATCACTTTTTATTGTTTACCCATCAACAATCTCCAGTAATCAAGACTCATGCCAGACATTCATATGCTTCATCTCACACTCACACATATACACTGCTGATAGACCCACATCCAGAGTTCAGCTCAGTTATGTCAGGCACATCAACCAAATATATTGCAACACACTCACTGACCATCTTGCCTCCCTCTTGCTATACAAGCTGGATTGTAACAGTCAGCAAAGTACAAGCACAGCTGTACATACACAGTTCCTTGGAGGAGACAGCGCTCTGAATTAGTAATCCAGCAGTCACTGAAGCTATTGGCCTCACTGATAGTCTGTTCCTGTCTAATGTATTTCCTTACAGCCCTCTTCACCCTCATCCTGCTGTCTACTATGAAATGCAAGTTGCAGGTTCTAACTATGCACCCAACTCATCATTCACCCCACCCCAGCTCCATTCTCTCATCCAACCCTTCCCAATACATTTATGTTCTCAGATACACAATGCCTGCTGCCTGGCGTTGCAACCTGTGTCTTTTTTATTTTTTGTGGTTTTTAAAATTGTGAAAATTGTTAAAATGAAAGTAACTGTTTACAAGATTAGTGTTTTGCAAGGACTGCCATGTTTTGACCCAGCACTCCAGGTAAGTATTATTTAAATAGCTGCTTGAACAAGCAGTAATAGACTGTTAGTTTGCAGATGGACTGGAGCCAAGGGATTCTGTTTATAGATAGAGCCTTGGTTGGCAAGATGTTGATTGGTCTATGGACTAGCGATCAGTTTTTGATGACAAAGCCCTTTTGCCTGCCAACAACTGTGTAATTGGCTGTCAGGCAATTAAATAACTTAGGGCTGGGAAGAAGATATAAGGAGTGATCAGATTTTCATGAGCTTAGGAGCTGTCTTTCTTTTCTTCACAGTCAAAATCCACTTTAAACTTGAAGAAAACCTTTCTTTCAGCAATTTGCTGTAAGCTGTGACTTTTAATTGATAAATCAAAGTCATTTTATTAGTAAACCAGCCTCTCTGTACCTCTTGCAAACCAGAGGAAGCATTGGGAGAATAAAAGACAAGAAGAAACTTCGGACCGGCCACTATTTAGTGAAGACTAGCACAATTAAAGGCACTAGCATGACAGGCAGTAAGGGAAAATACGAGGGTGAATAGTTCATTACTGTATGGTCAAAAATATTGGATATAGCTGGTATGGAATGGTGGTTTAAAATGTCTTTTATTTCAAGATTGTGGCCAACGAGGACTCATTGATGATCAAAACAGAGGATAGAAAATTTCAGAACTGTGGAGCAACTGTGATTTGGACCTTTTTTCACAGGAACTGGAGTCTGATGAGAAACTCACTGTAGTCCATCCAGAGTGATGATGATGTGCCTTCTTCCTCCTATCTCTTTCTTTCTTACTCATCCTCCTTCTCTTCCTCCTCCTCTTGAGGTGATCATCAATACTTTGGTGGCTAAGGCTGTGGCCTCAATATTACCAGGTTGTGGAAAAATGCAACAGATCATCATGAATCACAAGCCAGACTCTGGTGAGTCCAGTGGAACTCCCCTTCAGCAGCTGAGGCTATGTATCCATTGTTTAAGGACACCAATGGTTCATCTTATGATGTTCCTAGACACAACTTTACTGTCACTGTAGGAGACCAGTCCACATTTAGCTGGGTGATAGGTCAGTCATTAGCCGTGTGTACAGCAGGTACCTTTGGCACTACGCAAGTGAATAACCTCATGCTTCCTCACATTATTTTTTCTGCCACCTTGTTGCCCACTCACTGAATCTGTCTGCATCTCTTTGCAACCTGTTTGTGTCCTCCTTACAATCTGTATTTCCACTAATTTTTGTATTGTTAAAGTCCTTACTCTTTGTCTATAGGAACCTCAGTAATGGCACAACTGATGTAGAACTGCAGTGCTGGTGTTGTTGCTGACCCTTGCCTGGACAGGTCCTGAGGCATAAGCGTAACCCTTCAACTGCTCTGTAGTTACATCTCCAATTTGAGAAAGTGTCATAATTCAGTGCTCATATCCTCGGCAAAGTATTGTCACTGGACACTATGACTGGCTGAGGAGGAATTGGGAGAGCTCTATGAGGACAGTGTGTGCCTTCTGTTGAGAGTCTACCTCCTCTTTTCCAGCAAAATCCATACAACCTCTTGCTGACGCTCAGCATCACTCCCATATGACTGAAAGAACGTTGCGAGCTCCTCCATCAGTGATTGCACTAAATCTGCAGAGCAAGAGAAAGTCAAAGCAGCTCACCTGAAATTTGAATGGTGATCCCTTTGAGTAGAGACAGAGGCAGGGTGTTCACAGGACTTGCAATGTCTAAAATGGCAGTTAGGGTGCAAAATCAGTACTGGATATTGACTAATATCACTAACCTTCACACCCTCATGCTTCCAACACGATATAAAATCTGAAAGAATCTGACACTGCACTTTTAAAGGTAAAGATCAATGTCAGAGAGACTGTTTTGCAATCATTAAGAAATTAAAACCAAACATCATAATAACTTCACTTACACATGAATGGACATGCAAGTCCTAACCTTTTGATTTGTTTAGTGAAAAACCAGTTGGTACATACCACAATGTTAGATCCTCCATGGGTTTCAGTGTTGAGTCTCTTGCTTTGTCATAGCAGCTTTTTGGAAGAACAAAGAAACTTAAACAATAACTGACTGATGTCCTCATTCAACTCCATCTATGCAATCACCAGAAGTTGCATTTGATTTACTCTTCATAATAGTAGTGCTGTTAGCTTCATATGCCCCAAATTTTGTAATAAGATTAACAATGTGTTTTATTTAAGATCTAAATTTTACTAAAAATATTTTGATGGAGAAGAAAAGAATTCACACAAAATGCAACAGCAGGAATTAGTATTGACTTAGACATAGACTTGGGCAAAACTCCAGACATCTGTTGTTGTTCTGTATATTTTTTGTGAAGATAAATGTTGACCCCCAATCTTACTTTGTACTTTGTTCTGTATATTCTTTGTGAAGATAAATGTTGACCTCTAGTCTTACTTCGTACAAAGACTGGGTGAGTTTGTTTGCTTGAAATGCACACCCAGTGAAAAAAATAATCAGTCTATTTTCCAAAGCTAAAGTGCTATTTATTAAGTCAATATAAAGTCTGATGTTTCCACAAACAACTGGTTATACTGTTGCCCTCCCTACATATGAAAGAGGTGAAAATAATTAATCATAAATTAAATATCCTTCTCATTTTCTTTCTTTGTACAGCCTTCAATATTCTTGTGAACGTCGGTGTTGTATTAACATATCCTATACTCATTTCTATCGGAACTGTGCTGAGTGTCCCTGGAAATGCAGGTAATATTTCTCTTCACTGTTGGTCTCCTGTTCTTTTATTATGCAGTAAAAGTGCCAAATCTTTTTCCTAGAGTGAAAACGTCTTTGCCCAAGGTAGAAAGCTTGGAGGTGGGATACTTGATGAGGAAGGTTGGTGCTGTAATTAAACCTCACTGCCTTTCTGCCTCCACCAAAATTCCATCCTGGTGGAAAGGCTCATGATCAACCTTTCTGTCATTGGTCCAGTTCCTTAATGTGGCACTGATCCAGGACCCTCCATCCCCAGTTGAGGTGACAAGCTGTCACAAGGTAGCGACTGTTGTACACAATGCATGATGATAGGCCTGTCTGCAGCTGAATATCTCTGAGCAGCAGAAGGCTATGTCCCTTACGTGGTGATTAATTGGCACTCGATCACGACTTAAGGGGCATAGCCTTCTGCTGTTAGGACTAATGCAGCTGCAGACAGACCTGTCATCATGCACCGTGTATGATAGTTGTTACCCAGTGGCCCCACCTCAACTGGGGATGAGAGGATCAGTGCCACATAAAGGAACTGGACATCAGGCAAAGGAGTGCCTACTGGGAGCTACTTCCCCAACCTTGTTTCTGATCAGATCCTGCACCCAACCCAAGAATCCCACTGTTGCTCCTCTTTATGCTGGGTACCCACAATCCTGAGGGATTCTGCAGCTACCACAACCATCTCCTTGATGCTGCTGAATGCCAGAGCTGCCAGTGCTCAGCCCTCCTCTGGGTCTTGAGTCCAGGGGAAGACATGCCAGTCGCCTTTCCACTGCTTGACTGGCATATAGCTTAGATGGTCTTCCGTGGAAGAAGCAGCGAAAGTTTCACAGAGACATCCAATGCTTAAATAGAGGCATAGCATCATGCAGCATGGAAACAGACCCTTTGTTCCAACTCGTTCATGTCGACCAAGTTTCCCAAACTAAACTAGTCCCACTTGTCTGCATTTGGCCCATATCCCTCTAAACCTTTCCTATTCATGTACCTGTTCAAATATCTTTTAAATATTGTAACTATACCTGCAACTACCACTTCCTCTGCAGTTTATTTCACATACAAACCACCCTCTGTGTGTAAAGGTCTATCCTTAAAACTGAAAACCTCCAGTCCGGCAACATCCTGATAAATATTTTCTGAGCTCTCTCCAATTTAATGAGATTTTTCCTATAACATGGTGACCAAAATTGTATACAGTACTCCAAAGTGGCCTCACCAATGCCCTGTACAACCTCACAATGATGTCCCAACTCCTATATACTCAATGGTCTGAACAATGAAGGCAAGCATGCTAAATACCTTCTTAACCACCCTGTCTACCTGTGATGCAACTTTCAAAGAACCATCTACCAGAATCCCTAGGTCTCTCTGTTTAACAACAATGCCCAGGGCCCTACCATTAACTGTATAAGTCCTGCCCTTGTTTGCTTTACCACAATGCAACACCTCGCATTTATCCAAATTAAACTCCATCTGCCACTCCTCAGCCCATTGACCTAATTGATCAAGTCTTCTGCATAATCTTTGATAACCTTCTTCACTGTTGACCACCAATTTTGGTGTCATCTGCCAACTTACTAACCATGCCTCCCAAAATAAATAAGATACTGCCCATATGAGTTGATTCCAAAAGTTTTACAGTTGTGACAAAACAATGGCAGAGATTTTTGTCTGCACTGTCTGGATGATATTTTAGTCGAATGAATTACCCATCTGTTTTTATCACATTGTGTAGAGTATCCCCTGTTTGTTATATCTCAGTGAAGATTACTGTGCATTTCCATTTAATAGCTGCAATGTTGTTCAACCTTTTACATCATTAGTTTATCATTGCTTTGGGGAAACCTGGTGAAAACTGTGAAGTTCTTGCAAATAGTAGTTATGTTTATTGCTGTGAAATTCCCATAATTCTTGTATGCAATTGTCTAATCCAGTTGTAACAGATATAAGTAATTCTGAATGAAAATGTTATTAAGCCCATCCAGCTTCTCATATTTTTACATTCTAGCCTACTCCCCCTAATTCTTCCTTGAGCTGTTACACCTTCCTTAGGTTCCACGTTTCAGATCAAACAAATGGCTGTAATATACATCTGTTATTCTTTACAATGATTTTTAATTCCAATCTCAGCTTGTACAGAAGTAACGCCATTATGATTGATATTAATGACTTGCTTGTACGTTATTTGTGGAGTTTGGGTGAGCTCAGCTGTCCAGAGTTAAAAGGCAGAATAGCCAAAAAGCATGGAACAAACTCAATGCAATGAAAGCAAACCAAAAATCCAAGTCAGGCGTACAACACATTTAGGCTTGATGTAATTGAACACAATTGTGAGGAACATTACAATTGAGTTTGAAAATCCACTTCCTTAAACTAACCTTTGGTGGTGATAAGACAATTCTGGGGCAAAGTACCAAATCAGTGGGAGGAAACAGGATGCCCTGACCCTAACGGATGATGTTTGCTGACTTGCATGTATCTGAAAAGTGAGCTCTTGCATTAGCATCACTGGCCAATCAGGGGATGCAGAGACACACAATCCCGTGCAGCTTTAGGGCAACGAGTTCTCCTTTCTCTTTAATTTTAACAACTCACAGGAATAACTATTGTAGTACAAAATCTCTCCCTTAATTGATACTTCTGGCATCATCCTTCAACTATCCATGATAAAGGTTGTGACAATCTGTTTGTGCTTGAGTCAATTTAAAAATTCTCAGCGTTTATATTTAGAATCACTGCATACTTACATATAAAAGGAGGCTATGCAATCCATCATGTCATTTCTGGCTCTCTTCAAGAATAACTCAACTTGTTTCTCTCACTTAAAAAAACCAAGAGAACTGCGGATGATGTAAATCAGGAACAGAAACAGAAGTTGCTGGAAAAACTCAACAGGTCTGGCAGCATCTGTGAAGAAAAAAGCAGAGTTAATGTTTCAGGTCCGGTGACCCGGTCCGAGGAAGACAGATGCTGCCAGACCTACTGAGCTTTTCCAGCAACTTATGTTTTTGTTCTTGTTTCTCTCCCTTGTCCTTTCCAAGAGCCCTGAATTGTTTTGTCACCATGTATTAACTAATTCCCTTTTGAAGCCACAATCAAATCAGGCACCACCACGTTCCCAGGTAGTGCATGCTACATCCTAAATATACACTGTGTTTTTAAAAAACCTGCTCCTCATGTCTACAGCAGTTTTTTTGCCATTCACTTTACATCAGTGTCCTCTGGTTTTTGGCCTTCCTTCTAATGTGGATAGTTTTGCTCGATCTGCTCAAGATCCTTCATCATTTTGAAAACTTCTATATCAGATTCCCCCCTCAATCTTCATTAAAGATAACAGCCCCAGCTTTTTCTAACCTCGCCATGTTACTGAAGTCCATCATTCCTGTAACCAGTTTCATCAATATTTTCTGCATGAATCCTTCACTTTCTTCCTAAAGCTTGGTGTCCAGAATTGGATACAATACTCCAGTTGGAGCTAAGTTAATATTCTTTGTAACTTCCTTGCAATTGTACTCAGTGCATTTATTCGTAAAGCCCACGATACCGTAAAAAGTGATTTTTAGCTACTTTCTCAAGCTGCACACCATTTTCACTGATTTGTGTACATATACCCCTGGCCTTTCTGTTCTTCCACTCCTCATTTTGAATTAGACCCATTCTTTTACTATCAATTCTCCTTGTTCTTCCACAAAAATATATATCAATTGACAAATCTGCTACTTGTCTACCCGATCAACTATCCTGTCTATATCTTCTTGAATTCACTATCCACCTCATTCAGAATAGCAAAACTTTATGTCAAGTGTAAATTTTGAAATTGTGCTGTATTTCTGTGTCTCAGGGTATTAACATACGTGGAGCAAAGCAGTGGTCCTAGCACCAGCTCCTAAAGAACCATATTGTAGACCATCCTCCAGTCGAAGAAACAATCACTACCCTCTAATTCTTCTCATACATTCAATTTTATATCCATGCTCCCAGTGTTCCTTTATTATTCCACAACCTTTAAATTTGCTTTTAAGCCTGTTCTGTGTCATTTTATCGAATACCTTTTGGAATATCTTGTACACCACTGCAACCATAACCTTCAGTTGCTAGATTTATCCTTAGATCCAGTGAGTTAAGGTGTAATAATTCTCAATGCCTCTGGTGATTCATTGTTTACATTGTATCAGCTGTGGCTCTATCTCTGAAGCACAAAGTTCTGGGTTCAAATCCCATTCTAGGGCTTCAGTGTAAGAGTTAAGGCTGACACTGCAGTTCAGCCCTGAGGGAGCTTTACATCATTTGAAGTGCTATCTTGTGGATGAGACAGTAAACAGAAAGCTCCGTTTGCCTGTTCAGGTGGATGGTGATCCAATGGCGCTATTTCAAAGAAGAACTGGGAACTAATTGGATGTGAGCCACTTTTGGAAGTTCTGAAGATGTGAACAATACAATAAAAATGCTGGTTTGTTCTTTGTTTCCACAGGCAAATTTAGTTTGATTTAAGTTTGCCATGGTATCAGAGAAGCATACTTCTGGCTGCATCTGACGGATATTTAGGCACGTACTGTTCATGATCTTCGGAAAAAAACAAAATTAATGACTGACTATTTGTATTACATGCACTTCCAGCCTCTTGGGATATACTCACAAAATTACTGCTTTAGGATGATCCGTATTTTACTAGTAAGTCGCAAAGGAAGTGGTAAAACCAGCTATGATAATTTTCAGAATTCAGAAATTTTGCAGACTAAGACACAGCACATGCACATCTGATTCTTTAGCCTGAATTATGTTCAGATGACAAATTCAAACAAGTTAGATGTAAAGTGTCATACTTTTAACCATGAAACATATAGATGGAAACAATAGGATAATTCAAAGAGATAGTAGGAACTGCAGATGCTGGAGAATCTGACATAACAAGGTGTAGAGCTGGATGAACATAGCAGGCCAAGCAGCATCAGAGGAGCAGGAAGGCTGACATTTCAGGCCTAGACTTTTTCTGAAGAAGGGTCTAGGCCCGAAACGTCAGTCTTCCTGCTCCTCTGATGCTGCTTGGCCTGCTGTGTTCATCCAGCTCTACACCTTGTTATCTCAGGATAATTCGAAGGCTAATTTTGAGGTTTCTCTGAATAACTGTTAAATTGCGTATGGTTTTCAACAACTATGTAAAATGGCAGGTCAGACTGTTCAATTGGCATCATTGGTAATGAGTTATCTTTCTTACACAGCTGTCGACCTTATGAAACACGAAGTGATATTTAGTATGGTGAGGTTGACTGCCACTACTATCATATGCATCGGCTTCCTGCTCATGCTTCTTCCTGAAGAATGGGATGAAATAACTTTAAGGTTTATTAACAGATTAAAGGAGAAGAAGAATGAAGATCAAGCAGAAGACACCACAGAGTCTAGTGTCCACACTCGGAGCAGAAGCAGAGCAAACGGCACAGTTTCAATTCCTTTAGCTTAAAAGCAGCTAAGTTTTAAAATGCACGAAGATGTATATTCTGTGAATATAATTTAGTTGTGTGAAATAGTATGCTATTATGACAGTATTACTTTTTGAAGCAAAGATCTATGGTATACAATATAAGTATGACAGTTAATAAATTATTAAAAACAACATTATTGCAATTTAAACTTTATAAAATTACATGGGAATGGGTGTTAGTGTCAAATAAAGTTTTTGTAAAGGTCCTTGCATTGGGTTTTTTATTATTTATTTAATGATATGGTCTTTGGTTAAAAAGAACATTTTTTCCTTTTGATTGTTGTTACTGCATTCAATTGTATTCTAACACAATCAAAATAAAAGACTGATAGAGCACATGTAAAAGTGTCCTGCTTTTTCATATATTTATCACACTGTGACTATTTGAACACTGTTTAAATGTCCCAGTTAATGCATGGGAAATTTGTGCTGTCAGTTCTACAAACATTTTTTTTATGTTTTTAAAACATGGGCAAGGAAACCTTCTGCTGATTACCACGCCCAGTCCTCCCTCAGCTGGTGATTCGGTACTCCTCCATGTTGAACAACACTTAGAGGAGGCACTGAGGATGGCAAGGGAACAAAATGTGTTCTTGGTGGGGGATTTCAATATCCACCACCAAGAGTGGCTCAGGAGCAGTACTACTGATCAAGCTGGTCGGCTCCTAAAGGACATAGCTACTAGATGGAGTCTGTGGCAGGTGGTGAGCGAACCAACAAAAGGGAAAAACATACTTGACATCATCCTCATCAATCTACCAGCTGCAGATACATCTGCCCATGACAGTATCAGTAAGACTGACCACCGCATAGTCCTTGTAGGGACAAGGTCCTGCCTTCACATTGAAAATAACCTCCATCATGTTATGTGGCACTATCACCGTGCTAAATGGGACAGACTTGAACACATCGAGCAATGCAAGACTGGGCATCCATGAGGCACTGTGGGCTATCAACAGCAGCAGAATTGTACTCCAGCACAATCTGTAACCCCAAGGTCTGGCATATTCCCCACTCAACCATTACCATCCAGCCAGGGATCAACCCTGGTTCAATGGACAGTGCAGGAGGGCATTCCAGGAGCAGCACCAGGCATACCTGAAGATGAGGTGTCAACCTGGTGAAGCCACCAAAGAGGACTATTTGCACCCCAAACAGCAAAAGCACCAAGTGATAGAGCTAAGCAATCCCATAACTAACTGATCAGATCTAAGCTCTGCAGTCCTTTCGCAGCAATCTTCAGCCAGAAGTGCCGAGTGGATGATCCATCTTGGCCTCCTCCAGTGGTCCCCAGCATTACAGATACCAGTCTTCAGCCAATTCGTTTCACTCCACCTGATATCAAGAAACGGTTGGAGACACTGGATACTGCAAAGGTTACGGGCTGTGACAACATTCCGGCAATAGTACTGAAGACTTGAGCTCCAGAACTTGCTGCTCCCCTCGCCAAGCTGTTCCAGTACAGTTACAACACTGGTATCTACCTGGCAATGTGGAAAATTGCCCAAGCATGTCCTGTACATAAAAAGCAGGATAAAGCCAATCAGGCCAATTACTGCCCTATCAATCTCCTCTCAATCATCAGTAAAGTGATGGAAGGTGTCATCAAAGGTGCTATCAAGCAGCAACTGCTCAGCAATAAACTGCTCAGTGATGCCCAGTTTGGGTTCCACCAGGGCCAATCAGCTCCCGACCTCATTACAGCCTTGGTTCAAGGACAAAAGAGCTGAATTCCAGAGATGAAAGTGACAGCCTTGACATCAAGGCGGCATTCGACCGAGTGTGGCATCAAGGAGCCCTGGCAAAACTGGAATCAATGGGTATCAGAGGCCAAACTCTCCAGTGGTTAAAGTCATACCTGGCACATAGGAAGATGATCATGGTTGTTGGAGGTCAATCATCTCAGCTCCAGGACATCTCTGCAGGAGTTCCTCAGGGTACTGTCCTAGGCCCAACCATCTTCAGCAGCTTCATCAATGACCTTCCTTCCATCACAAGGTCAGAGGTGGGAATGTTCGCCAATGACTGCACAATGTTCAGCACCATTCACAACTCCTCAGACACCGAAGCAGTCCATGTCCAAATGCAACGTGATCTGGACAATATCCAGGCTTGGGCTGACAAGTGGCAAATAACATTCATGCTACACAAATGCCAGGCTATGACCATTAGCAATAAGAGACAATCTAACCATCATCACTTGATATTCAATCGTTACCATCACGGAAGCCCCCACTGCCAATATCGTGGGAGTTATCATTGATCAGAAGCTCAACTGGACTCACTACATAAACTCAGTTGGCCACAAGAGCAGGTCAGAAGCTGGGAATACTGCAGCGAGTAACTCACCTCCTGACTCCTCAAAGCCTGTCCACCATCTACAAGGCACAAGTCAGGAATATGATGGAATACTCCCCACTTGCCTGGATGGGTGCAGCTCCAAGAACACACAAGAAGCTTGACACCATCCGGGACAAAGCAGCCTGCTTCATTGGCACTACATCCACAAACATTCACTCCCTCCACCACCGACGCACAGTCGCAGCAGTGTGTACTGTCTACAAGATGCACTGCAAAAATTCACCAAAGATCCACAGACAACACCTCCCAAACCCACAACCAATTCCAATTAAAAGGACAAGGGCAGCAGATATATGGGAACACCACCACCTTCAAGTTCCCCTCCAATCCACTTACCATCCTGACTTGGAAATATGTTGTCATTCCTTCACTGTCACTGGGTCCAAATCCTAGAATTCCCTCCCTAATAGCATTGTGGGTCAACCCACAGCAAGAGGACTGCAACAGTTCAAGAAGGCAGCTCACAACCACCTTCTCAAGGGTAACTAGGAATGTCCAATAAATGCTGGCCAGCCAGTGATGCCCACATCCCACAAATTGAAAAAAAAGTTCTTTAAAATGAGACCGACACACGGCAAGTGCTCTATGCTGCTTATTGGCAGTGCAGTAGTTTGAGGGGAACTGTGGGTCAGAAAACAGAATGAATTTATACCATTTAAAGGCATCTGCACCTCTTAAAGGGGAGGTGTATGTTATATAAGGTAATGGTTCTGCAAGGGTTAATGCTCATGTTACATTGGCTCCATCCATTGTACTGATCGCACACAGTCTATGGATGGAGACAAGGATTTCTAGCTTTTGGGGGGACAAGATGTATCTGTACCAGCTCCCTGAGATCTTAATAATTATCCCTGACCAGAAAGAGTTGTAAATATTGTTATTATGCAGCATTTTTTTAAAGAACAGTGCATCCCTTATAGATGGTCTATAATAGTGTATCTTCTCCTGCCAATCACTAGATAGACCCAACACAATGCAAAGGGGGGATTCCCGGTAACAAACAACCTCAATCAATTCTTACCCAATACCACGTAATCGTAGAGGAAAAAACCACAAGGTGCCAGCACTGGTCATTTGGGAACATGCACAGTGTTCTGCACCTATAGATAGTAACAGGATGTACTTGAACTTGATGATGTGACTAGAAGGCTTGCAGATTCTCACTCACAACAATGAGAGTTGTTCAGACATCTCCTCATGGAGACAGACAGTGCTCCAGACAGCAAATGCACTGGCAATTGGAAGAGATAGCTTAGGAGGGTGATTTCAGGAATTTATCCCTTAGCACCTGGCTGCGATTGGAAAAGGAGTTTGCTGATCTTTCATGGATTTTGAAGGCAAGGCTCCTAACTCGCAGTTCCATTAATTTCTGCACTATCTAAAATTCAATTACTCATAACCCTGTCTTTTTCTGCTTCAGTGAGGAAACTGTAGCCAAGCTCTCTAACATGATGCTGGTAAATTTGAAGCTCAAATCATGGCATGGGTAACCCTTCCTCTGACTGTTAAACCCACAACAGTGTTGAATTTCTGTACCACATTGGGATTGATAGTATCGATCAGGAGAAACTGTTCCCACACATGGAAGGATTAGTAATCAGATAGTACTGACTTAAGATATTTGGCAAAACAATTCTTAGAAATGGGGGGAGATGAGGACAATTTCTATGGTGATCACAAATACATTTCCTGGTGGGGTGTTGGAAGTAGATTCAGTCGTAAGTTTCAAAAGGTAAGTGCATATATGCTGAATGAAGGATTCACTGATCTACGAGGAAAGAACAGTGGGGATTGGGACTAATTAGATAGCGTCTTCAAAGAGTTGGTGCAGGCAAACTGAGTGCAAATACCTAGTTCTATGCTGAATGATTCCACACATAGATAGATTACTTCTGTCATTTTTAGAAAGATAATTGATTGTTCTACAAAGCTGAAATCAGCCTTCATTGTTTTAATGCTCCGTATTGCCCCAGCCAGAGGATAACTAGATATCAGGATATAGAATCATAGAAGGGCTCTTCATGGAAGGAGGTTATTTGGCCCATTGTGTCCATGCTTGCTCTCTGAAGGACCAATTCATTTGGTGCCACACTCTGTCTTTTCCCTGTAGACCAGAGCATTTTTCCTTTTCAGATAATAATTTAAGTTCCTTTTGAGAGCCTAAACTGAACTTGTTTCCACCATACTCACAGGCAACACATTGCAGATCCTAATCATTCACTACATGAATGGTTTTCCCTCATGTCGCCATTGCTTCTTTTGCCAATTACCTCAATTCTGAGCTCTCTGGTTCTTGATCCTTCAACAAAGGAAAGATTTTACTACTTACTCCATTTAAACCCCTCAGGATTTTGAATACCTCCATCAAATCCAACCTTCTTTCCTACTGCTGCAGACAAAGTTGGAGCCCTAAACCACAGCATGGAAAACCCTTTCTGAATTGGAATTACCAAAGAACAAGTGAATAAGCTTGATAGCATTCAGAAACAAGCACTAAATAACAAAGGTGTACCAAGTTACCCTTAACAAGGCAACATTTGTTTAATTTTGTCAAAGGCAGAGAAGGATCTGTATGGACTTTTTGGTCATTTGTTCATGCAATGTGGCATCATTGACTGGGCCAGAATTTATTGCCCAACCTTTATCATATTATAACACCTGGAAGCAGTGGTAACGGTGAAACTGATAAATAAAAATGGCTAGAAAATTTAAAATAACATGCTACAATAACTAAAACTAAAGAGC